AAAAAAAAAAAAAAAAACTTGACTAAGACCATCTTGATTAATTGTCTTATTTTTCTCATCTTAATTTCAATACTGTAATTTAGAAGTAAATTTAATGATTACCATGATTTTATATAAGACTTAATATTAATCTTTTTACATTATTGTTTAATTATCAGTATTATTTAATTATTTTTATAAGCTTAATTTTAATTATATTGTTATCTTACATTCTCATCTCATTATCATTATCAAAATCATTAATGACAAACATATCAAATGATTTATCGTGTTGCACGAGGAACAGCACGTGGACACTTTCTATACCATTTATTAGCTGACACGTGTCTATGAAACCCCGAGACTCATATCCCCATGTAATAGCTTGTAGTTAAGTATAAGTTGGGCTGTTAGTTCTGAAAGCTACGCGGGCAACCAAAATGTCCAAAACTCACTTGGGCCATAATACTGAAATCCTGTGAAAGGCCAACAAGCCCATTAATATAAGAAGCCCATGTATAGACATTTGGGGCTGCCCAATGCAACTTTATAGTATATGAAGCCCAGTACATATCATATAGTAGACATGAACATATATTTTGCAAAAACATAACAACTCGTCATTTTGTTGTGTTAATTAATGAGGTATGAGAGATAGTGATTTTATTGGGTGGTTAAGGGCGAAAATATGTTGAATTAGTGTGTAGTTAATGAGGTATGAGAAGAAGCTAATTCATTTTTTTAATATTTTTCTGATATAAGTGCAATAAATATAACAACTCGAACTATTTTGCTACTAATTATACGAGGGGTGTAATCATGTAATAAAAAGGGAATGACGTAGTGTGCAGGGTAATTTTCTCTTTGATTATAAAACTAGTTAAACCCGACATACACTTTGACCCGCAAGTTAGTTCATATATATTTCGTAATTAGTTTTTTAGATCCACCCAATCCTGCAGAATTGAGGAGAAAAAAAAATAATATTTTTCTATCATTTTATATAGTTAAAATTTTCTAAGGAACTTAATTTAATAACCCCAATAGTTTCATTCTCTTTAGTTTAGGCACCTAATCCTATAATAACTCTATTTCATGCAGTTCGAGCATAATAGGGTCATCTCATAATCCAGTTTCAATTAATACTTTTCTAAGTATCCGTAGCTCGATCATTATCAGTTCATCCTAAGACTCTACGAGCTACGCGTTTGTTGCCTCTCACAAGTACTCGAGCATGGTCCACATTTGACGATGCATTCTATTCTGTTTTTTCGCAATTCATGTTACCCTCATACAACTCCAAATTGATTATATGTGAATCCTTAAATCGTTACCGAACTTTTATAGTTGGCTATATCAAAACAAATATATATATTTTTATAGGAAATAATTATGATGAATTGATGTGCCTAAAGGTTGAATTTAGTTGTATAATAATTTGTGTTTTTAACAAATGTATGCATTTTATTCTATAAGTATGAACTTTTTGTTAGAAAAAGAAGTGAATAACATTTCCATTTAACTGTTAAATCATATCATACAAGAATTTGCAATGATTTTGTGATGAAAAATATAGAAGAAAATTGTGATGACAATTGATTTAGGGTCCCACCCATCAAATGCATGGCCCATGGACATAAATATCTCCAAGGAAGTAAAGGACAAATAAATCAATGTTTTATTTTATTTAATTGTTTTTATTATTTTTATGAAAAAGAACTATTTATTGATAAGACCATAGTTGGATTTTTGCTATTTTATTTTTTTTTTTATTTAAGCAATGTCTTGCACATTTAGTTTTGTTGGACCATTTCCAATTTTAACATTAAAACTATGGACCACTTATCTCCATGACTCCATCCTTGAGAAAACTCCCACCCAAATTCCAATAGTGAATTATTAAAAAATGAGGGGCAAAAATGAGAAAAAAAAAAGAAGTGATTTTATTACTATTTTGTTTACATTTTTTACTCATTCAATTTAACATATTCATTGTTTTGGCATGCTTGATTGTGATAATTAGGGAGGCAAAATATTGCTAGCTACTTATGTTTAATTGGTACTATTTTGACAAATTTAGTTCAATCTCACTATATAATATCAGTTGCAAATTCGATCCTACTCCATTAGAATCTACTTTTACAAAGGTTTTAATCGTTCGATCACATATACTCACACATACGTACACCTATGCTGCTGATCAAACGGTTAAAATTTTCGCGAAATCATGCCCACAAGAATGTAGTAAAATTGATATTGCTCGGAGAACGTCAAGGGTTTAGTATACTTTTTTTAGGAAATACAGTTATTGTTAGACCATTGAATGTATACAGAAATGCTCTCTTATCCACGGTGGGCACATGTTAATATGCCCACCGTGTAGGTGACATGCACTCATTGGTGATGTATTTTTTTAAACATATTAACATCACCAATGAGTGTATGCCACCTACGCGGTGGGCATATCAACATGTGTCCACCGTGGGTAGGTGAGCATTTCTCTGAATGTATATACACATTTTTATATTTAAATGTTATAGTTTTTTAAATTACCATAACTTTAAGCATAACATGTCACATAATTTATATACTTCAAAATAAAAATATATACTTATACTCAATTGTACCCATATCCATGTCACTTAAATAAAAAATAAAAAATATTTGAATTATCTAATGAGGTTGTTCCCATATCACTTAAAAAATTTGGCATGCATCCATTTTAGAGATACCTTTGTAATTCATTTTTATTTATTTATTTATACATACATCCCAAAATGGACACAAAAAATAAAAAATAAAAAATAAAAAAATAAAATATCCATGAAGAATGTGTACAAAATAATATTAAATGTCCCCCATTAAAGCCTTTGAGATGCTGACAAGCAAATTTATTTAACAATTACATCTGAACCAAAAAAAAAAAGCCTCCATTTTTATGACATTGACCTTATCTTTGTCCTTCAAAACCCCACATTTTTTCCAACACCTAAATCAATTAGACCTAAAATCCCCCACAAAAAGACAAAAGACCCTAAATGAGACACCACAGCAAAAGTACCATAATAATAATAATTTATTATTATAAACAAAATAAATAAATAAATAAATAAAGAACCCACCAAAAGTTCACAAAATTCAACAGAAGACAACAAAAATGATAATAATTAATAATGACGATAATTATTATTGGGGTGTCTATATGTACACCCTCTTGTGTGTAAAAAAGGGGTGTACATATAGCACTTTTCTTTGTGTAATTTATTAAAAGGGGGTGTACATATAGCATTACCCTTATTATTTATTTTGATGACATTGTTGACAAGCTACTAAGTGCAATGGATTAGAAAAGTCAAATTTGCAACAGAAGTATTATTATTATTATTATTATTATTATTATTATTATTATTATTATTATTTAGTTTTTATCGTTTTGTGTCTTTGGTTGAAAAGCACCCAAAAAGCAATCCCAAAATAAATTTAATAAAGTTTATGGGGAATTTTTTTTAAAAAAATTTTATGTCTATTTTTTTTAAAGTGGACACTTTAATCAGCCACACAAATATATGATCAAACATAGGGTTTTAAATTTTGATATGCTTGTTCTTCAAACTTAATAATTTATTTATTACTAGTTTGTTTTATTTTATTTTGATTTTATGGTTGTGCCTAACCCACTTAAATCTTATTGATTTCCCAAGATTGGTGTAAGATTTGCAAAATTGGATGAACAAGCACAGTAGCAAACACCCAACTAAATATGTTAGTTTATAGTTTATTTGATTATCTTATAAGTTTTATGTATTGAAATAAGCTTTGTTAGTAGAACAGAATTTTTTAAAAAGCTCGAGCTTATCTCATAAGCTTCTTTGAGTATCTTTTCAAAAAAGCTAGTTGAAATTTTTATTTTAGCTAGTTTATCAACTAATTTTACCAAACAATTTTAACATATAAGCTAGTTTTTCAGTTATAATTCATAAGCTCAAAAACTACTGATAAACTATAAGCTAGTTTATCAACTAGTTTCACCAAACATCTATTAAATAAAATTGGAAAATAGGTCAAAAACACCCCTAATGTTTGCTACAAGGTACATATTTGTCTATGAAGTTTCTTCAGGTACAAATATACCATTAAAGTTGAACCAATAATGACATTTACATTCTTTCTAATAGGAAAAAGAGCTCTATTAACTCCTCATTAATTATGATCAAAATATATATAATATGACATAAACACTTGCTAATAATTCTTTAGATAATTTTATATAGGCAAAAAAAAAGTAAATTATGAAAAAACACAAAAACGCAAAAAGACAAAATACTTTTGGAATTGTTTTGTCAAATGAGATTGTTTGCCAATAGGAACAATAATTGCCAACACAAAACTTATATTATTTTAAGATTATACGGAGGCTAATAAAATGGAATTGTTTGATTTCAATATATTTTTCTTAACTAGAAATACTCAATGCATGCAATTTAACTCCTAGAGATGAAACTTGTGCTTTCAAAATATGTTAAAATGTATGCAAATTTAATTTTCTATTGTGCTTCCAGAATAATTCATATACATATGTGAATACTACTTTTTAAATTATACAGGATAGGTATATTTCTCGCTTTATTTCAATTGTAGAAGAAAAACAATATATTGCAGACCATATATAAAATAAAACTCTAAACAAAACCTAAATTTTGATATATTCAAATCTGGCATGTTATGGGAACACAAAA